ATCCCGCTCCCCTCTACTTTCGACCTCCTTTTCCACTACTATAATCTCCTTTCTACCTTACAAACATATTATTTTGAGGTTTTATTTTATGTTATAAAAGATGTGGTTATTCAGTGTTCATCGTGGTTTGATCGATGAACGTCGTTACGTTTGTCTCACGATGGAGTCACTTTGAGGCGTTGATCGCGACGTTTAATTCGACTGCTTTAATTACTTCTAGGCTTCATCAGGCGATGAGGTCGATTGTTTACGTGTCGCTATATGTAGCACGTTGATTCGCTGCTATTGGTGCATTTCGATCCTAATTTATTATTACGACGAGATGTTGTTCCCTCAGCTGCATGCGCTGTCGATCGGCTGTTGTGTTTCTTGATCACAACACCTCAAAGTGACTCCATCGTGAGACAAACGATTAGACGTTCATCAATTTTATTTTATGATGATAATGCGACAGAGTTATCTACTTGGCGTAATGGGGGGGGGGGGGGGGGGGGGGGGGGGGGGGGGGGGGGGGGGAGTGCGGGGGGGGGGGGGAGGACGGGAACTCGGTAGTAAAGGGGGGTGGGAAGTATTGGCGGGAAATATACCCAAGGTGGCGGGAAACCAAGAGAAATAGGAAAACATTTCACAATATTTCGTAATATTTCGCAATAGGAAAAAGCACTAAGGTTGGAACGGAAACCGGGAGTAAAATAATGTACGGGAAGCGGGAAGTTATAAGGCCCCCCGTCCCCCGTCCCCCCCCAAACACGCACAAATTCCGTGTTTATTTTCTGCAAAATTGTAAAACTGACAATGCAGGTTGGTATTTCTAATTTACTGTAAATTATTAGAAAACTCCCCAGAATAACTAGTTAAATCCGGGTAGTCAAGGTTTTGAAAAGAACTGCTAACATCGACTCCCCGGCTATCCAAAGGTAACAAGCCTTCTTAATCCACTGGATTAATTCCCTTTAGCGGAGCAGGTGTTATGATGAAAGAAGAATCTCTCTAGTACTGTTTGTGCGTTAAGGAAGCGTTCCTTTTATTTAATTATACGTTCATTAGACGTTTTATCTGTTTTATGACGAAATTAAAACAACCACTGCCCACGGGAAATATTTGGCGAAGTTATAACGACGCATGAGTGATTGAAAAAAACAAAAAATGATCGCAGAAAAGTGAAGATATATCCGACATTGTGTTATCATCATTTTTGAATTGTAAAAGTTCTCAGTGAACGTTATGGAAGTTGTTCCTCTATTTGCCCTACCGTCTGTAATCTCTTAGGAAGTAGAATTTACCAGGATTGGAGGGGACTGACTTGTTACGAAAACTAGCTCGCAATTCCAATTCTTTCCTAGCTAGTAGTTATGTTCTTAACTGAATGAAAAGGAACGGCCATTTTACACTGAGGAAGGGACAGTTTAGTCATACAGTGAACATTTTGAACACTTTAATTTTTTCCGCGCAACTAACATTTTCATTTCGAAATTATATAGTTTTTTGTTTGTTGTTTCCGACACTGAGTCACAACATATGTAGATATTTATAACGCTATTCGCGTAATCATTTCTTCGTTTTATGCTTTCCACTCTATCCTTACACACAAATAATAAGTTTAATGCCTGTTGTGTGTGAATTAGAGGCGAGTTTAAGCACGACGTTTTACAGCTAACGGCAATGAAACGTAAGCTTGCGGCGATGTTTTTGTTGAATTTTCCTCGAATCATGAAATAAATCCATCAGAAAAGTGGCAACAAAATTCACACGTTCAAAACTACTGGCTTTCACGCACAAAACAGCTAACGGCAGACGGCAAAAATGGGACTTTTGCCACCGTTCGCGGGAAAACCTAACATAATGCTTATTAATCTCTCTAGTTTCTTCCGTAAAAATTTGTGCAAACCGAGTTTGATATCACAGGCGGGATCAATGTAATTTCCGATACACTCATTATCAGATGATTCAGCGATAATGCGGATGTCTTTATGAACTTTATGGCAAAGAACATCATTCTCACAACTGTAATAAATGGGGCCACTGTCTGACCGCAAAAACTGTTAGATAAAATTCTGAAATTTTAAGTGCTTCTGCAAAAGCTAAAGCTGTTTTCGATATGATCACTGCCGTTCACTCGCCGGAAAATTACAATAGCAGAAGAGAATGAGAAATGTTTCGAGTGATCATGAATCGCCAAGTTAAAAATAAAAAAATATCAAGCATGCATTACCAACGGTCGTCAGCAATCACATGACACACACACACACACAGACACACACACACAAAAAAAAATCGTTAAAGGATAATGATATACGAAAAGTACAAGGCGAACCTGTCAAAATATCACAGAGGCAAAACAATCGACTCTTATATTATAAAAGAGACGGTTTAAGTGTTTTGGGTGAATTCTCCCTAAAAATTCTGCAAATTTCACCGCACAAGCCTTTTAAAACCTTCTAAAAACAATATAGAGTAATAAAACTACACTAAATGTGCGAAAAAGCGAATTTACCTTTAGCTATTTCCCAAATTAAGCCGCAATACTATTCCTGGTTTGCAACCAATCCCGAGAGATTTCAAATGACAAAGACGCGGCGGCCATGTTGGGGGTACAAACAATAGAAGCCAATTAGAAATCTTTTGTTAATGACCCCCAGCTGACGTCCACTTGCAAACCACCAATTCCCGGAGTTTCTCAAAAAGATGTCCGCTGAAAAACGAAAAACTGACTAATTTTGTATCGTTAAGACGTACTACAGCATTCTTTTCTTTCCCTTTGTTTGCATTTAACTGTTAAAAAACCATGGCAAGACTTAAGCAAAAATAGGTGTTCTTCAAATGACTTACTGGAGGCTTTTAAACTTACTACAAGTCGACACTAATCACCCACAAATAAAGCCTGGAAAGGGACAAATGTTTAATTATGATAAATTACGCGCACAGCGTGCGAATAGTGTTCAGAATCGACAAATTTAACAAAACTCGCTTCCCTTTTTTACGACTTCAATTGTCTGATGCAAAAGATAACTTTCTTCCGCCCTCCACAATTAGCACAAAAAATGGATATGATGAATTATTCCTTTCAAATTTACCCATCTATGTCGCACTGAACTCGCTATTAAATTTTTAATACGTAACAACTTTAAATTTGCTGACAACACTGCAAATCCCCTGAACGCAAATAAATCTGATTGAATAGTACGAGAAAGAACTCGGTCCTTCTTTCAAAATTAGCACGTGCAAAGAATGGAGTTGAATGTTGTTAATTGCTTTCATTGAGCACGTAATTTTGAAAAGAAAAAGGAGTCCATATTTTCTCCCTTTGTGGTAACTCGTTAAGCTGTTTATTTTTCTATCCAACAGACGCGTTTGAATTTCCTGATTTTAGTCATATCTCCCACGCGAAAAACACGACCACAAGCTCTACTGACGTACAAGGCAAAGATGCTTATTTAGACTATTCGCAATCAATATCAGTTTCCATCAAAGGGTTTCCCATCGCGAGTACCGGAGATGAAATAAAGGTAATTTCTACAGATACGAGCAATATTGAATCTTCTTTCTCAGCAGATGTTTCCAATATTTTCAAACAACACGAGGTGTTCCCTTAAAAAAACCCAAACCATTCAAGAAAACCTACGCTAACAGAATGCTCGTTAGCAGCAATTATCTTTTCGCCTACCCACTTTAATTTGACAGTTGTTTCGGTTTTACTCCTTAACCAATGTTGCGTGTTTGAATGCGAGTCCCGTTTTGAAAACAGAATGAATTTACTTTAGCTTCTTCCTTTAATTTCCGATATATATTGCGATATTCATTCATAAGAGTACGAAAAAAGGAAGCGTTTTAATTTGTCGCCAAAAAAACCAAAAAGCTTTTTCTCGTTTTTTTAAAAAATCAGTTAAATTAAGGCCACTATACGAATTATACGATAGACATAAGTCAATAACTTAATGAGCTGATGGACCACGCTAAAAACGCGTGTAAAATTAAGCGACAGATGATATCTAACGATTTCCAAATAGATTAATGACATAGTGACCGTTTGGCTCAAACCTTTGAATCAACTTGGTATAGCAACAAGTTGTTTTTGTTTTCGGGAACTGAATACGAGTCAATTTCATTTGTGTGGAGTTTTGCGTCTCAAAGTCATTATTACTCAACCGTATGAATTATGAACGATTCTGTATATTGTTAATGGAAGTTTGGAATTTCTAAGTGTGAATTTAACTCTTTTCAAAGACAAATCTGGAGGATTTCTAGTTAGGAATAATGTGGAAATCACCGTAAGGCCAATGCTCTTCTATCAAAAGGTCAAATAAAATAGATCGAGGTGTTTTGTATGTCTTTGTTTCTTTGCCGCATCACCTTGTTTACTCGGGTCATGAAAGGCGGTCCTACCAGATGCCCACCCACCCTAGCCTTAGGGGACCGGAACAATCTCGCATAAGATCAGAGCGACTTCTTTGATGCTTTGTGATTCGAAGATATATAAAGGTGAAATGGATAGTTTGGGAATCATTCACTGCTCGGTAAGTTGGAAGGAAGACTCACATTTTATCTCCTATCAAGAGTTTGCTCGTTTTGAAGCACTATGGCAAAGTTTATTTCTACAGTGTTTTGTATTCTTCTCCTGTCTTCGTTTCTCATTTCCTCAGACGCGTTTTTTTCTAATAATCAAGTTGGTAAAAGAGCTGTTAAGGTAAATATTTGAACTGAGTTTGAATGTTCTTGGCGCAAGTTTTGGGCTAACCTACAGCAACGTTTTTTGAAATTTAAATTACAATGTAGTTAGCCGTTCGAAAAGTTCATGCAGTTGGACTAGGACTGAGATATTTTTCTTCCTAATGCTTATAAGAATTTTTAAGTACCACCAAGGATTTGTCAGCCATATTGAATTGACACGTATAGTAAGATGGCGGCCATTTTGAACATGCCCTTGTTGATATGTCAAGGAAAATTAGAGTGCGTTTGTGAAATTTTCAAGAGCTTTATGTATGGCTTGTTTACTTGGGGGAGACGCGGTGGCCTAATGGTTAGCGCGTTGGACTCCGGATCGAGCAGCCTGGGTTCGAGCGCTGACCGGGTCATTGTGTTGTGTTCTTGGGCAAGACACGTTACTCTCACAGTTCCTCTCTCCATCCAGGAGTATAAATGGATACCAGCGAATTGTCGGGGCAACCTGACAAAAATGCTGGGGACTGACCTGCGATGGGCTAGCATCCCAGCCAGGGGGAGTAGCAATACTCCTAGTTGGCTTCATGCTACGTAAACCGGGATAAAGCTCCGGCAGTGTGGGCCAGTTTGGCCCGAGATTCTGATGTAATTTTTTATACGAATAATATTTTTTCTTTATTACTCGCAGCTTGAAAGAACCCTTCAAGATATCTGCCAAATAGCGCGCGAACACTGTGGCGGCGTTGTTCACCAGCAGAAACCACGTGACGCAGAAATGGCCAATGTGAAGTCGGACAAGAGGAACATCTAGTTTATTATAATGAAACAAAGGACTCCGGCAATAAGCCCGCATTGGCTTCAGAAAAACAGCATTTCTAAAACCCATTAAGTTAAGACGATAGTTTGTGTTACGTTATTTTTTAGTACAAATCTCCGGTTTATTGTCTAAGAAAGGAAACTTTTCAAGACGAACGTTGCGTATTGAAAATAACATTTGCCTTTGTCATAAAGATCTCCTAAGATGAACATCGTTTATAGAGCTTTGCATGCCAAACATTGTGAAAAATATCGCCATAAGAGTTTGAAACGTCTGTGACTTTCAATTTTCATGAATATTGTAATATAGTACATATACAGTAATTGTTTGCTCTAATGTATTAAATTTACATACAAGCGACAAGTTGAAAGAGTTTTTCTTGTTGTGGAATAAATTTAAGGTTATTTAAAAATATATGTTTAAATGTGAGGCGGAGATGTCAATTGTCAGAACGCGAACGTGGAGCTTGACATCTCTGCCTCTCACAGTTCATAGTTCTTGCATTTTGATTGGCCAGTTGAAACGAAATCCATCAGAAAATTGTCAAAAAGTTGTCAAAAATTAGTCAAAACCTTTGTAGAGTGGCAACGGTAGGGCGCTCTAATCACTGTAAAGGCTGGTTTACACGAGTCGGTAGCGGAGTCGGAATCTGAAGAAAGTTATGATCTACACGACGCAGCGCTATTTGGTTGAATCATGCATCAAAGAAACAAATTTGATTCACACACGTTTCAATTTTTTTAGTGAAATGCTCCACTCAAATTGATATTGATTTGGATTATGGAGGGACTTAGGGAAGAGGTGTGTTGTCGCGAGTGGAGTCTGGGACGGGAGCAACACAATAACGCACCGGAACAGGACTGCCCCAGGCCCTACCTGCTACTCAAATGTAACTTGCACAAAAAGAGGTTTCTAAATTCGCCGTTGTAAAATTTTGCTCCCAAAGTTACCCAAAGGAAAGAAAAAGTCGCTTGTAGTTTCTAGCGTGAATTCGCTGCGAGGATAAAGCTCTTTCAACGTGTCAAACAAAAATGATATGTTGAATTTATTTTCTGTAATATACGCCCCCATCCACACCTTGAGAGAAGCCGGAAAATGTACATGAGCTGAAAGCGAATTTCTTTGATGTTTTGAAGGCATATAGGCAAAGAGACAGCTCGGGAAGTTCAAAGGAAGAGTGTATCTTTACCCTAGCCAGAGGTTCCACGTTTTGACGATTAAAATAAAGTTAAACCATTGACTAACTCAGTGTCGTTTCTTTGTTTATCACAGAGAAAAAAAAACGCAAAAAAATTGCGAGTATATGGGGTCGTTTTTCCCACGTTTCGAGAATATTGAACTGAAAAGAAGTTCTGAAAGGAGATCATGAGTACAAATCTTTTAAAAATACCTCAGTTCATTCTGATTAGTGATCCGACTTCTCTTCGATGGAGATGACCAATTTTGATGAATGGAACCCGGCAGAGTCGAACAAGTTTCTTCGAATGGCTTGATTTTAATTCAGTGCCCAATATCGAAATAATTCTCAATTATCTCAATATACAAAACGCACCTACAAATTTGCTAACTGTGACAGGGCGAAATCTTTTCTACAATAGTGCATCAGGACGGTCGAAGATTGGTTCTAAATAGATCCAAAACAATTTTTTCGCAAACATAAACATCGTTCAAATTGCAAGTCAAATTATAAAGTCACAAATTTGCTGCGAGTGGCGTGAAAAGAGTAGTTTTATGTAGACACTCGTGGGAACAAGTTGAGAATACTCGAATATTCCACACAGCTGTGGAAACACGAACCCACCAGACGTGTTTTTACAGCTTTTCGTGTTCTCACAACGTGGACAACGTCTCAGTGTATATTGTAAATAAACCATAGCTATCAGCCAATAAGCGAGCGAGAAATTTGACAGTTATCGTAAAAAGGCCAACGAAAGGTTTGCGAGTCATTGACTACGCCGCTTAGCACGATGAAAGGAAGATTTACATCGATGTTACAGTCATAGGTTCCACGTTGAAGTAGAATGGCGGTAGCAAAGCTTGATCTTTCTGCAGTGTTTTGTATTCTCCTTGTGTCGTCCTGTTTCGTGCACACAGAGGCATTTACTTCCAACAATCGAGTCGGTAAAAGAACTGTTAAGGTAAATATTTGATTTTGAGTATTTCATTCACAAGTGAGTTCGAATGTTAGCGTGTGTCAGTGTGCTTGCGTTTAATAATATAAAATTTCATATAAAACGAAACACGAGACGAAAATCTCTTTCTAGTGAAACGTTGGTGAATTTATGGTTCTGAAAATTGCAGTCAGTCCTTACGTTTACTCATTGTCTTTGAAATCGTTGTTTTCTTTAAATAACTGAGTTTGTCGCTAATCCACCGTACAGAAAAAGATGGCCGCTGTACATTTTACCACAATACCTTGCAAACCTAACACAGCCAATAGGCACATAGAAAGCCATATTTTTTTTGTGAAATTCGTCCCTGTACTAACAATATTGTGTATGCTAGGTTTGAAGTTTTTAGAACTTTTCTGTGCGTTTTTCTGAGCGTTTTTAGGGTTTTCGTGCGCTAAGAATTATGGGTAAATGTACCAGTCGCCATCTTTTTCCGTACGGTGGATTGAAAACCGTTTTAAAGCGTGGTTTTCATATGTCGGAAAAATCCCAGACCATCGGGGATTTTGTTATTTCCCGACCGTCCCAGACATTCCCGACTTATGAAAACACAACGAGGTAGATGTCTCCCATTATCTCTCCCTCGGTCGGGAAATAACAAAATCACCGATGGTCTGAGATGTTCCCGACATATGAAAACCAGGTTAAACCCGACCTCGTACGTTTAATTACCGACGATTGAATGCGAAAAGAGATTTCTTTTTATATACGAGTATATTTTTCTTTATTATTCACAGCTTCAAAGAACTCTTCATGCCTGCCAACACTGTGGCGATTTTAATTCCAAGAAAAGGTCACGTGACGCAGGCACGGACAATGAGGCGAAGCCGAACAAGTGAACTGACAATTAACTGATTTCCATCAATGACGATGAAGCAAAGAATTCTGGTTAATCAGGGTGGCACGAAGAAAGCAGTTTTAAAGACGAAAGACGATAAAGCTGTCGATAGTTTATGTTTACATTATAATAACTGAAGTTATGTTAGGTACAAATGGAATTTAAAGGAATTTTATTAGAGTTAAATACGATCTGATGGATAATAGAGACGGACAGTAACCCTAAATCCGTTATGCACTTGTAAATAATATTTGCCTTTGTCATTAAGATATTTTAAAATATTATATTGTTCATATCTCAGTATCCATTGTAAAAAAAAAAAATATACATTTGTATCTGACCAATCAGACGCAATAAGCCGCTGCAATGGGTCCATTTTTTAAATACAGTGAAGATGACGCCAATCGACAAAGTTTTTGATTAATTTTTGACATCTTTTTGACAACTTTTTGACGACTTTCGGATGGGTTCCGTTTGACTTGACCAATCAAAATCCAAGGAGTGTTGGAGGCGGAGTCGTGAAATTTGAATGGTTTTAGTTTCTAGTCTAGTTCAAATGGCGCCACAAAACGGATCCCATCAAAGTTGTCAAAAAATTAATCACTTTGTCGAGTGGCAACGGTAGCTTCACCTTCACTGTAACAGTGAAACGGAATGAAGGTTTTCGCGTTTTAAAATTGTAACAAGCTCGCAAAAGAAAATATAAATTGAATATTTAAATAAAAAGTAATGGCGTTGCTTCGAAGAGTTTCCGAAAACAGAACACCAGTGTGGCGCAATGAAGATCAGTCATGTTGCTTAGCAACTTAGGTGAAGGACACCACGGGCTCGGTTAATTCTCGGACGGGATTTCGCTCTCAACTGGTATTCTCCCGACTGCGTCTGCGACTGATGAATATACTTTATGTTCCAAGCCTCATGTTCGGACTCGCATTGACAGTCGCAGTCTTATTCTGGGACTCAAAGTCGCAGTGGCGGATCCAGGGGGTCCGGACTCCCCAAAACACCTAAGCTCTGGCTTGCCTTTTATTTCAGTTTACTGATTTCCACAGTTTTGAAACTAAAATATTACAACTGAAGGATCGCAATATGACTAAATATATCTGACTGTTTTAAAAATGAAACTTGTGTTGGACTTCACCACTCAGCCACTAAATGTCTCATATTTACCAACACGGTGGTCACTTCTTACTGTGTACAAGAGTTTGGACCACCTCTATCGAAAAATCCTGGATGCGCCCCTGTAACTGATTGTCGGTTTATCAATGGCGGTAATAATGCCATTTATGTATCTTGTTCCTTCTAAATTTATTCCAATACATTTATAAAGTATGGGTGTGTTCGAGCGGACAACTTGAAAAATAAAATGATAGTTTTCTCGTAAACGAGCATGTTGACCTGGATCTAGAAATCATCCTCTTTCTACGCTGCAATGAGTATACATGTAGACAGACGTCTAGAGGTTTCCATCTCATCAAATTCGCGTCCAGGCTATTTTTAGACCATTTCACGGCCCGCGAACCAGTACCAATCACGTTGAACCATTTTTAATGCGCTCGCGACGCAGCAACTTTGGCCAAAGAAAAG